CTATGTAGAAAAAGTCATATAATTATTCTATATAAAGATCATATATTGACTAGCCCAATGGTAGTTCATTCACTTGATATCCAAAAAAGATCATTTTCAGCCTCGAGAAGATAACGAAGAACTATTCGGTCCCGAAGTGCCATATTTAGTGCCACTAGTGCATTGATATATTTTACTAATAATACTTGATCTAATATAGTCATTTCTATAATGTTATTATCAAGTCATAGTTTTACTTCAATACAAAGACATTGGAATGAAATTAAACATTTCTAATCTTATCTCCGAGAAAAAATTGATAAATTGATTTGTTATTTATTTTACTCAAATAAATCAAAGTCAAATATTTTAGGAAGTGTTTGAATTTATTATGAAAATAAATTGAATTTTGGAAAGGTATGGAATCAAATTTTAGAGTTAGGGACCCAATTGAATATAAATTAAGAACCTAATTGCATAAAGTTAAAAGTTTAAACTTTCAAATTAAATTAGATATGAACTTTAAGAGTTAAAAAGTTGTTAAAAAACCTTAAAGGAAGGGCCTAAAGTAATCAATAAAATAATTGTATAACTTATAATGGAGTAATTAGAGAAAAGATTAACAACTTTAAAGGCCAAAACTAAGCAAATTTTGAGAGAAATTTATCTCCTTTTTGCTACCCATTTCAGTTCAATAATTAACGTATAATTAATGCATGCACAAATGAAAGGATTAGATTTAAAGAGAATGGTTAGATGGAGGGACAAATTTAAAGACTAAATGGATGGTCAAGATAAAACTAATTGAAATGCTAGGATTCAAAAAAAAAATTATGGGCCAAGATTTAACCAAATGAAGGGTTGTGATGGAGTCAATCAAAGAAAAAAGTCCACCTAATTTTCTTATAAATATGGGTGGTAGGAATTATGAAAACAAATGTTAGAAAATTATAAAATTTAGGAGAAATTCTTACAAATTTTCATAGGAATTCCACCCTAAAATTTCACTAAAATCACCTTTAAACTCTCTAAATCACTTAGTTGAATAAATAATTGAAGCTAGAAGGACAAGGATCATCAAAGGGAAAATTTTGAAATTGGGTCGAATTTAGTGGAGAAAAAGGAGGAAAGAAATTTCATCTTCCAACAACAAATTGGAGTTTGTTTATATAATTTAACCTCATATACACCATAAGAAGTGTTTAATTGATGTTAATTGATGTTTTAGATGATTTAATTTATGTTTATTAGCCTTAATTTTGAAAATTAGGGTTAGGGTTCTTGATGAGAAAACAAAATGGGAAAATGAATTTAAATTAGTAATTCATGCAATTAAAGTTTAATTATGTCAATTGAGCTTGAATTTGATGATTAGAAATTAAAAAAAAAAATTAGGATTAGGAAGAACAACCCATTCGGCCCAATTCTTGAATTCAAGGGTTTTTTATGCTTAGCTTAGTTTGATGATTTGCCATTTAATTATGTGTTAATTAGGTATGAATTGATAATTGAATATGAAAGTTTGCATTAAATTTGAAGAATTTTCATTGAGTTCATTATGAAAGCATCACTTAGTTAATGAATTAATGAGTTATTGACTACTTAGGAGTTAGCTAAGTATGAATTGATGGATAAAAGTGGAAAATTTCATTAAAAAAAAATAAAGAATTGTACCTCATTTAGCTTAGGCCCAAATTCGATCCAATTGAGAAGAAAATTTGGGTTTAAGTGTTTTTGAATGGCTAATAATTTAATTGATCAATTTGAAGTTAAAATCATGTAATGGAATGAATTAGAATTAAAAAATACATTGAAAGTCAAAATTTAGCTTAAATTACCTCAATTAGTGTTTAGGCTCATTAAGGCCCAATTTAGGATTTATGCCTTTATTTAATCAATGAATACCTAATTGAGTTAGCTTTTGACATTAATATTTAGTTAAATGTAATTGTATCGAAACTGGTGTTGGAATTTAGAAAAAAAAAATCGATTTAGGTACGGATGTTATTCGAGCCTAAAGTGGGATTTTTAGGGTTTATGCTTTGGTTTATTTAATTCATGTGTAATTGAGTTCATTGGATGTCATTTGATGTGATTGATAAGTGTATAATGTGGGTGACTTGTGATGTTGATGATTATGAGAATGTATTGTTTTATGTTAGGGAATAGTGACATTATTTGGTATGGTTTGGAATGAATTTTAATTAGATAATGTATTTGATGCATTTTATGTTATTGAGTTATGCATTATCATGACATAAACACATCTCATCCATGGCATGCATCTCATGAAGTCACAATGATTATGCATTTTAATGAAATGCACATGCATGCCAAATGTATGAGAATGATTTAAAGTCATGAAAAAGAGGTTTTTATGTCAAGGTTTTTCCAATAGCGATTGAAAAACATGTTTATAGTTATATAGTCTTCATGACTTTCATGGTAAAGGTTTTCATGGTTTTATAAGGGCTTCACAAGTTTTCTATACCTATAATGGTTCATGATTTAAAGTTCGGGGTTAAGCGAGATATAGATGTACATTTCCTAGAGGCTCGATCGGATTTACGTTCGCAGATCGGTCCAGTTCATCGGACATATTATGAAAACCTTAAAGTACCTATTATGGGATATGTCCAAATACATAAAAGAATTTTTAGACTAACCATGAGAAGGATTTTATAACATGAAAAAGGAATTTATAATGCACATGTAAATGATTTATACATGCATTTCATTTATATGCATAAGTTAATTTATTGAGATGTCATTCACTTAGCTTTTCCTATGGTGTAGATAGCACATTAATCATTGCACACGTCTCTGTTGAGCTATTTACCGACGGGTGCACGCTTCGCATATACATTGGATGGAGTTTCGATTCCGTGTCGATCTTCCGCTCGTAATTTTCTTTTTAGTGTTGGGTGTCATCATTTATGTGCTATGACTGATCGGTTTATTTTATGTTATACTTAAAGCTATGAATAAATAAATAAATAACTAGTAGTGTGATGTAAATAAATGAATAAGCCACTTTTGAAGTATGTGGCTTTGAATATGTTTTTGTATGCTAAGGATAGTTTGTATGTAAACAAAAATATTGATGGTAAAATAATAATGTAACCATAATTATTGTAGTTTCTTTAAGTTATTTCTTTACGTTTTAGCATCAATAGTAAAATAAGAAAAATATGAAATTAATAAGACAATAACAACAATAAATGGTAATTAATGAAAATAAGAAAAATTAGTTACCAAGTAATAGATAATGACTAAGTGAATTTATGCGAGACTAACTGGAGAGGAATTTAGGAAAACCGAGTGACACGGATCTAGTCATTTCAGCCCAAGTAATTTAAATAAAATAATAAAACAAGAAAAATTTATAGTACATTTTATATCAAAAGGTAGGACCAATTAGTCAAATAGTGACTTCCACGATGTATTATATACCTAGAGATAGTATGTATAGGTCATAGTGTCTTATTAGCTTACATTAATTAAACTTTAAATGTAGGTTAATGACGATAATATTCTTGATCTTCGAGGTACTAGGTCAAGGGTGTTACATAACAACTCCAAATAATTCTCTCAATCTCCACAAAATACTTGTGCACAAAATAATAAACAATCAAACATATTTATAGGCTTCAAGATTAAGAAAAGAATTGAAAGAGACTATGAACCATTAAAGATGCATAAATAATTGAATCAATTACATTTCCATTTCAATTTCTAACGTTGAATTGTGAATTAAATCACATTAAGAATAATTAGTGAAAACATGAAATGGATAATCAATATTTCATAACAATCTCTACTTACTTACTATAGCCCAATTAAAAAAGTAAAAGTCAAATTAAAAAAAGGAAATTGTACGGTCCAATTGAAACAAATCTCACCAAATATATATATATATATATATATGCAAATAAGAAAAGACAATTAAAGTGTGTGTGTAATATAAATTTTAATGTTACATTTAAATTTTTAAAGTTATCAAGATTTTATGGTAGAGCCAATACTAATGGCAAGAATATTGAAAGTAACTTTGGTATAATTTGAGATTACTTATTATTTCTAAAAATATTGATTATTTATATTAACAAAACTATATAACTATATATCATGATTTTAAACAAATATATTCTCTCATATAATTGAGTTTAAAGATATTTTTTTCTTATAAGAGTAAAAAATAATTCTAAAAAACATCTTTATTAATTAAATATTCTTTATGATACGGTAAAAAGTTAGGTAATTTTTCTTTTGGCTTGTAAGCAAAGAAATATATTTTAAGAATTATATTAGAAAAATAAATGATATATAAGTCATTAATTATTTTATAAAAAGTAAATAAATATAATCTAAATTATTGGCAAATAGCCTTTTATATATTAGTACTTAAGTTTACCCTATATTCAAACCCCATGCTATTTAAATTTTTTTGATTGAGACCTTCTACTTTTTTTATTTTGATTGATTGAAACTCTCTACTCTACGAAATTGATTAATTTAGATTCTCTCGTTATAACAACATCAACTATTCATCCAACCGACAAGTTAAATTAACAACAACTAATTACTAAGCGACATATGGCATATTAAGTCCCAAATAACAGCTTTTCCCATCCAAAATTTTAAAAACATAAAAAATTATTAATAATAAAAAATTATTAAGTCCCAAATAACGAGTATTAAAAAAATACAGAAATATAATTTTGCCTCCTATGATCCCAAACCCACCTAAATCGAAATAATCAAAAACGGTGTTCTCACTTCTTTCTCATAAAACCTATCTTACAATATGCAAATAAATGAACATCCTTCAAACAAGAATTCCTTTAGATCGAGGAATTGGCATCCAAGGATAATTAACTACTATGGTAGAATATTTTGTAATTTTTTCTACTTTTGAAATTTATGTTATATATGTTGATCGGGAGACATAAAAAATCCATCAAAAAACCATCTTCTTCCAACCACCAACACTTCCCATCATCTTTCCTTCACCGTTGGCTTTAGCCACCAATCATTACCTTGTTGTTGCCATCTTCCCCACTCCTATAAACATAGCTAAAATCCATCAAAAAACCTTAAACCAAACATTCCAAAACCCATACAAACAGACCATCTCTATCAACCATAACTCTTCCACAACCCAACCACACCTCGTAGATCTTGGTAGCCACCTTGCCGATCCACTAAAGCTGCATCCACCATAGCCTCACACCTTAACACCACAACTCCTCCATCGTCGGGCATACACCTTACCAAGCCTTTGCCACGGCCATCCAACCATAACTCCTCCATACCAATTCAATTTTCTAGCCACTCAGGCACCAATGATTCACTTCCCGACCTCTCTAACACTACCTAACCACCTCTCTCAATGCGAGACCCACTAAACTCCTACCAAGACCCACTAAAACACAAACCCCCATCAACAACAATCGAGACCTTTGCCCATCCACCACTAAAACCCTCCTCAACACTCCTTCATCGAGATCAAATCAGCTTTTTGATAAGGATGGAGGTAGACATGGTAACGGTTCCTAAACCGTTGATTTCGGCTTAGGAACCATCGATTAAGGTTCCACCAAAGAGTGGAACCTCAACCAAACCTTCTATGGATGGTTACGGTTTCGGTTTGGAATCATAAAATCGATGGTTCCAAACCATTTGGAAGCAATAGTTTAACGGTTTTTTTATTAAATGAAAAAATAAAAAAATTAATATTTTTTCTTAAGTATAAATCAAACATTAACATTGAAACGAAAAAACTTCTTTTTTGCATAATGTATAAATATTATAATATTTTTTACATTGTAATGTATTTCGCACAATAAATCAAAGGGAAAAAAGAAATAAATAAAGAAGGGCTTGAACTTAATTTTTATAAGCACTACAAAAATTAAGCTTCCTACGTATCCGCTTGGGTTTAGAGGAATCAAAGCTTATGTAGTTTTCTTTTACATTTCAAATTACCCCTTTACAAATTACAAATATATTCTATGTAGCTGCGCCTAGTTGCTTTCTTGATCAAAAGTTTTAGCTTCGAAGTTTCGTCGTTATGTCGTCAAGTGTTAGATCCATACTTTCTTCATTGAAATCATATTATTTTTATTCTTGTCGGCTCTTATCCAATCATCCACGTATACTTGGGCTTCAAGTGACTCGAGAGCCAATTGTGATCGCCTATCATCTAAAATATTACCTCCGGAGCTAAATGCTCTTTCAACGGCATTGTTGAAGCCGGCACGACAAGTATTTGTCTAGCTATTATGGACGGGACTAGAAAGGTGACCGTATGTCGTTTCCACCAATCAATTACTTGAAAATCTATACCGCATTACTATCACCAAGCTCAAACACGGTTGTTAGATAAATATCAAGCTCGAAAGTGGAGCTTGATGATCCTCTTACCCTTTTTGTCCTTTCCATGGCCATAAGATAACTAGCTCTAACATATTGGCTACTTGATGATGATTGTGGCATAAGTGGTAAAGAGGAACTAGCATGTTGATCACCCATAGTTAAAGACATTTCAATATATAAATTTCTAACTCGATTTATAATAGAAGCAATTTCTAATTCTATATTTCAATCAAATAGTTACAAATACTCATAATAAGTATTCAAAATAGCGAGAAAGACCTTCCATTCTAAATCTAAGATCAAAGACCAAAGCAACAAGATAAATAGGTGGAATTTTTTCATAATAACTTAACCATTTTTGTTTCATTATTTGAACAACATCATGTAAAGTTGACATACCTTGTTCTACATGATTAAAAGCTTCAACAATATTAATTGCTTCAATCATAAATAAATGTGAAGTTGGTTGATAAACGACGACTGAAAGTGTATGTTGCATTGTTAAAAATACTTAAAAGTTCTAAAAGTGGTTCACATATATCAAAATCATTTTGACAAATAAAAACGAATCAATATTTTCTGAAAAAAATAAGCATAATAACTCTCGATATTCAAATTACTCGCCTAAGTAAGTCATAAGTTGAATTCCAACGAGTTGGAACATCTTTTGAAAATTGTCTTGGTTTTTTGTTTCTTTCTTTGCAAAACTTTCCCCATGATTTCATCTTTTAGGGATGCCCCCATAAATATTGAGCAAGAGCTTTAATTGGCCTAACAATATCTTTAAGATATTCCAAATCAGATTGCACACATAAATTTAAAACATAACATACGTATCTAATATGAAAAAACTTATCTCTAAGATAGGGTTGACAAAGTTCTTTTAAAGAGTCTATTGAAACATTATTAGAACTAGCATTATCAAAAGAAATTAAAAATATTTTTAAAGGTAAAACATATTCATCTAAAATCCTTTTTAGTATCTTAAATATATTTTGAGCGGTATGTTTATCATCAAAAACTCTATATGCAAGAAGACGTTTTTGCATGTGCCATTCATTATCAATCTAATGACAAGTTACACCCATAAAGGAGTGAGTTTGCCATTGATCAAACCATATGTCGAACATATAGAAACACGACCATTCAAATTTGTAAATAATATAGTTAATTCTCTTTTTTTATCTCTATACAATTTTATAACTGTTTTTTTTTTTTAAGAATGTCTTTCAACTTGTTTGAAAGCGGGATTCAAAGCGTTAGAACAATAATCATTAAAACCCATTTTTTGACCAAAACTAAAAGATAAATGATCAATACATATCATTTTAGCCATTTCTTCTTTATTTTTTTTATCGAGTATACTAAAATAAAGAGGAAGATTGAGAAGCAAACCCGGATATTTGTGTCCGATGTTTATCATTACCAAGTACGGATTGATGCTTTTTTCTCCAAGTGGGTTTTGAATGTTTCATAACCACCTCCTTGTTTGAATGTGTATTGCTTATTGCGGTAGTTGCAAATCACGGTAAAAACACCTTTTTCTAAAAGAACTTTTGAGAAATGAATTTTGAAGATGTTGGATGATCTAGGTGTAAAATTTGATTGTTATTATTGCTCCCCGTCCGATTTTGGTTGGCGGTATTACTTTGTTGTGATGGCATATGTGAACTTGAACTTGCCATTTTTTGTAGTATAAAACAATAGAAATATAAAAAATTTAAGTATTTGCAGTATAAAAAATATTGTAAGATAGTATTGAGAATTCTAGACTTAAGAGTTTAAGAGATTGAGAGAGAATGAGAGATTGAGTTGTGAGGAGAATGAAAAAATTGAGAATGTATTTATAGGAAAGAAAAAAAAAAAAAAAGGTCACAAATGTGACCGTTTGTCACACACACACACACACACACACACACACACATATATATATATATATATATATATATATATTAAGCCCAAAAATTAAAAATTATTAGGCTTAATTTTTTTTTCCATTTTTCAATCCAATAGCTACTTGTCCAGTCCATATAAAATTGGTTTTTTTATTTAAATTTTTTCATTTTTTTCCAACCCAACCCAAATTTATTAGGACGGATGTGGAACCGTTGGTTCTACGGTTAACCATCGGTTCGATTTCATGATACCTTAAACCATAACTAACCCGTAGGTAACCTAGGTTACGATCTAGTTTGGTCAAGGTTACGATTTTAATGATTCTGGTTTTGTTTTTTAACGATTCAATTTCGATTCGGTTTATGGTTCGAACCGAACCGTTACCATGTCTAGATGGAGGTCATTCTATTTGCGAAGAAAATCAATATTTGGTTACTAGTTTTATGCTTTTACGGGAAGAGAGAATGAGAGAATTGGTTTGGACAAAACGGGGAAAAAAGAGATATTCTATTGCAATGGGGTGGGGGCAACTTGATTTTTTTTAATTATTTTTAAATACTAAATATTAGTTTAATAATAAAATCTTTTAAGTTTTTTTTTTTTTTTTAAGTTCAAACCTATACTATTAGAGCTGGAATCTACTATGCTACATGTCCATTCATAATTCATTATCGTTAATTTTAATGTATCATGTCGGATGAGCGATTAATGTAAAGCCTAAATCAACAAATATCTAAAAACGAAGGTTTCAATCAAACCAAAATAAATAGAGAATTTCAATTAGTTTTTGGAAGAGGATGGAGCTGATTCTATTTGCGAAGAAAATCTATTTTTGGTTATTGGTTTTATGTTTTTACAAGGAGAGAGGACGAGAGAATTGGCTTAGACAAAATGGAAAAAAAAATGAGATTGGCAATTGTAATGGAGTGGGGGCTATGTGGTCTTTTCAAATTATTTTTAAATAATAAATATTAGTTTACTAATAAAATTTTTAAATTTTTTTTTTAATTTCAAAACTATACATTAGAGTTGGGACCCACTATGTAATGTGTCCATTTGTGATTGGTTACAACTAATTTTAACATACTATGTCGGATGAACGAGTTAACGGAGAATCTAAATTAAAAATTTTCTAAGATATAATTTCAATCAAGTAAAAGAAATTCAAACAATATAAGGTCTGAATATGGAGTAAACCCATTAGTACTTCGTTTGTTTAGGAGAAAACAATATGGGTCATAGACGAAGAACATAACGTACAATAAAAGCTAGATTAAAAAATATTACAATTTTTATTTTATTTAGTATTTTAAATATCTTTACGAAGTTATTGTAATTTACTCAAGAATATATGAGCTGTATGTTTCTTTTGATGACTGATAATGAATAAAATTAGTTCAAGAATGATAGAAAGGATTTGGTTTGAATCCACCAACTAACATGTATTTCAAGCTGTGCATGGACTATTTTGCCTAAACGTTGCATGTGTAATAAAGATTGAAGGCAGACGGGCAGGGAAGCGAAGTAGGTGCAACTATAGGTTCACTTTTTCTTATTTGTGAATTTAATATTTTATACACATCAAAATCACAACCAATTTCTACGTTTTAGTTAAATTCTTTATCTATTATGTATTCCTTTGGTAGTTAGCAAGTTACTGTGTTTCCTTGGGATAAAATTGCTTTAAGATTTCCCCACCAATCAACTATAACTTCTTTGACATATGGAAAAGAACAAGAAAAAAAAATGGAGTACATCTAACACTGAAATGACTTCTTTGACAGCAACCTTTGGTTACTTGTTAGCTTTATCACCAAGCATTACAGTTAATTACCTTAATATGTAGTCAGTGTTGTCAATTACCTTAATATGTTTCTCACGAATCAACTATAACTTCTTTCACATATGGAAAAGAACAAAAGAAAAAAAAAAAAAGGCACAAGACTTATGTATGAATCTAGTATTCCAACTAATGCTTTGTTGGAGATTGTTATGCAGCATGGATATTGAGTCTGGCCTAATGCTAGATTAGAAGTCATGAAAAAAAGAAGAAGAAGAAGAAGCAATCTACTATACATGGTGTGCTTATGCTTGAAGTCAATTCTGATGATAAAATTATATGGAAATTAAGCTAAACCAAATGATGAATTTACAACTAAAAGCGCTTGGGATCTAGTAAGAAACAAAAGTACTAGAGTGGTAGACATAAACTTATTTGTGGATCGTTTAGCATCTCAAGATATGGCTTTATCTCTTAGCTTGCAATCTTGAATTGTTTATCCACTAAAGATAGGCATATTCGAATGAGAAAAATATCAATAATGATTGCTTGTTGTGTGAAAATGCTAACCGGAATCAAAATCTCTTATTTTTTTTTAAAGTTTCTACTCTAAGACTATATAGAATGGTAGTCTTCTTTTTTTTATATATATATATGTGGAAAATTTATGCAATTTTTCTTTTTGATGATTTTTCTTGAGTATTTGTCATGAAATCTTTTTTTTGCGAAAAAGTATTCAATTATGAAAGATGTTGAAAATATAGAAAAATCTTGTTTGAAAATAAATTAGGAGGGTATATAACTTAAAAATAAATAAATAAATAAATAGAACATGCATAGAAGGAAGGATAGTGAAACTTTGCAAGGAAAAAAAAAAATCTTTTTTTTTAATGAGGTGCGCACCTCACTTTGTTCGGAAGGTACGCAGTCACTCTCCCTACTTTCCTATTGTTATATTATTTTCTAATGATACATCTCACTATGTTTTAGGACTATTTTACTTGTTGTTCTTGACTTTTAGGAAAAATTCATGTCCTCGCCTTAATATACATGTTAATATATATATATATATATATATATATATATATATATATATATATATATATATATATATATAAGCATCTTTAAAATCATTTAAAAATTTTAATTTTAATTAATATGAAATATAATTAAAAAAAATACTCTTTATATTTGAATTAAAAAAAAAATTGTTCAACCGAACATGCAGGTGGAAACATTTTGCTAATTTAAACGCTCCATTTGTCTTGCTGTACATAGAAGTCTGTTTTACCAAAGACAAGAAATGCATGGAAGTAAATAGAGTTGAAGATATTATTATTTTGTTGGAAAGGACAGCTTTTTGACTTCAAACGAAAGGAGATCAAGGGAATTGGCTTTGACTGCACTCTTGAGTTGTTAATGAACTGAAAATATGTGTAGAGACACATATGATTCATGATTCTTCTAGTTTTCTTATACATTTTAAACTATTCCATGTCTATCACCTAATCAACTAATATTTTTGCTTCAACACTCTATATATACTGCCCATAACCTTTGATGAACATACAGTCTAAAAACAGCAGTTCAACATGGGTTTCTCTCTTCTTCCATCATCACCAGCATTTTTGGCAGTTTTTCTCCTATCATTTGTCACTTGGTGTCTCCATCCTGAGCCTATCCTTGCCATTACCAGGCACTACAAGTTTGATGTATGCGTTATGTTCTTCAGATCTAATATTGTCACACACATCACATTTAAACTTTTAACGAAAAAAAATGTTCTTTACTTTGTTTTTGACGTTATTGAAAATTTAGTACATGAAGATGGTTATTTTTATCAGTCCAAAATCAAATTTTGCAGGTTATGTTGCAGAATGTGACACGCCTTTGCCACACCAAGAGCATGGTAACAGTCAATGGGAAGTTCCCGGGGCCTCGCATTGTAGCTAGGGAGGGTGATCGTCTTCTTATTAAAGTGACTAACCATGTCCAAAACAATATCTCTATTCACTGGTATATATACATTGGACATTCTTCCATTTGATTTTACCAAATATAGTGCACCTTATATCGAAAAGCTTGAGTCTGAATGTTAATATTCTATGTTTTCATTGATACAGGCATGGAATTCGACAGCTTCGGAGCGGGTGGGCTGATGGACCAGCATACATAACTCAGTGTCCTATAAAAACTGGACAAAGCTATGTGTACAACTACACTATTGTAGGACAAAGAGGCACTCTTTTCTGGCATGCCCATATATCATGGTTAAGATCATCTCTCTATGGTCCAATAATCATTCTTCCCAAACTCGGCACTCCTTATCCATTTGCTAAACCTTACAAGGAAGTTCCAATAATCTTTGGTAATAAACTTTAAAAACTTAAGCTAATTTGAAGAGCTAATTGAAATTTACGCCTTTTTTTCTTTTTTTCTTTTTTCTGTTGAGGTTGTCTGTCTGCTAACACAAACAACAATGAAAAATAAACTGCAGGAGAGTGGTTCAATGCAGATCCAGAGGCAATCATTAACCAGGCAATGCAAACTGGTGGAGGTCCAAACGTCTCAGATGCCTACACTATCAATGGACTTCCAGGGCCATTATATAACTGTTCTGCCAAAGGTATGATATGTTAGTAGAGTAGGCCTTCTACAACAATGCATAGCATTTCTTTCCCTTTTTGTCTCTTATTACCTTGTGTGCATGGCAGATACTTTCAAGTTGAAGGTAAAGCCAGGAAAGACTTACCTTCTTCGCATGATCAATGCCGCACTCAATGACGAGCTTTTCTTCGGCATAGCAAACCATACACTCACAGTTGTGGATGTTGATGCAATTTATGTGAAACCATTTGATACCGACACACTTCTCATAACCCCTGGACAAACCACAAATGTTCTTCTAAAGACCAAGCCTCACCACCCAAATGCCAATTTTTTCATGTCTGCTATACCTTACATGACTGGTCAAGGAACTTTTGACAATTCAACTGTTTCTGGCATTTTAGAATATGAATATTCACACAAAACCATTCAATCAAGCCGCTCCCCTAAGAAACTTCCGCTCTATAAACCAAATCTGCCACCTCTAAATGACACTTCATTTGCTGCAAACTTTACTAGCAAGCTTCGCAGCTTAGCCAGTGCAGAATTCCCTGCCAATGTGCCTCAGAAGGTTGACAGGCAATTTTTCTTCACTGTAGGCCTTGGAACAAACCCATGCTCTAAAAACCAAACCTGCAAGGGACCAAATGGAACAAGGTTTGCAGCTTCAATTAATAATTTATCATTTGTAATGCCAACCACAGCTCTACTCCAAGCCCACCATTTTGGTCAATCAAACGGTGTTTACAATCCTATTTTTCCAATCAGTCCACTAATCCCTTTTAATTATACTGGCACACCACCAAACAATACTATGGTGCGCAATGGAACAAAGCTAGTTGTGCTTCCTTTTAACACCAGCGTGGAGCTCATTATGCAGGATACTAGCATACTTGGTGCTGAGAGTCACCCTCTTCATTTGCATGGTTTCAATTTCTTTGTTGTTGGTCAAGGTTTTGGAAACTTTGATCCAAAGAAGGATCCTAAAAATTTCAATCTTGCTGACCCCGTTGAAAGGAATACAGTGGGAGTGCCCTCAGGAGGCTGGGTTGCTATACGGTTTCTAGCAGACAATCCAGGTTGGTAATTAATTTTAAATTATAAGTATATAATGCTAAGTAATACCCTAGATTAGATATTTAAATTCATGTAGGACCATTAGTTGCTTACTTGTTTCATTTGTGGATGATGGGTATCATCAGGTGTATGGTTCATGCATTGCCATCTAGAAGTGCACACAAGCTGGGGTTTGAAGATGGCTTGGGTTGTTTTGGATGGGAAGCTTCCCAATCAGAAGCTGCTTCCTCCACCAGCTGATCTTCCTAAGTGTTGACATTCAAGGCTTCGAGGTGCTTCTTAACTACATTGAGACCAGAAACTGAGTGATCAATTTTTTTATTTTTTTATTTTTTGGGATTTTCTTAACTCCATTTTATTTCTTTTTAACATTTTTTTCTTTTATGAGCATTAGTCTTCCGATATAATGTTTATTACCCATGTTGGGGTTGAGAAAGGAAACGAATGTACCATGTTTAGTAGTTGGATCAACTTATTAATTATTTGATTTGCAAGGAAGATTTCGCTATTATTTACTTTCTTTTGTCAAGACACAGCTCACGCGTGCAAAGAAGTCCAAATATACACAGCAGTCTGTATCACAATTGATGATGATGTATGTTGTAACCCAATTATATATATATATATATATATATATATATATATATATATATATATATATATATATATATATATGCTGAAAATTAAAGAACTTTTTTTTTTTTCAAAAGATCTTTTTACGAGTTTTCATGAGTTTTAGTATTTTTGTAAATCTCGAATGAAAATAACCAAACATAAAAAATGAGTGAAGAGGAAAAAAAAAATCAAGAGAAGAAAATGAGTGAAAAACATAATAAACAAAAAAAGAGAAAAAGATTTAAAAGCACACAGCTTATTCTATTTTAACTTAATTAAGTTTAATATAATTTTTTAAGTTTAAACTAAGAGAGAAAGCCTTTTTTGGTGCCTAGATTTTGATTTTTTTTCCCGTTTTGGTGCCCAACTTTTGATTTAATAATTTACTATCCAAATTTTGATTTTTTGTTTGTTTTGGTGCCCAACGTCACTTAAAAGTCAATTTTGATAACGTGTACGGTGAGAATTGCCACGTGACAATAAAAAAGGATCACGTGACAGTCAACTTCGGACATGTCGGCACCTTATGATTTAAGGTGGCTATGGGCACTCAAATAGAAAATATATATATATAAGGTTAGACATTGAAATAGAAAAAAAAATTTAAAGGTTGGGTACTTGAACAGGAAAAAAAAATCAATGGTTGGATATCGAAAATATAGTTTTCTCAAGAAAGTTATTTCGGCTTTACCACACTCGAATGTCTATCCCCTTCTTATATTTTGATAAATAATTTTCTTATCATAAATAGATTTCATGCATGTCTTGTGCTTCCATATATATATATATATATATATATATATGGTCTCTCAAATTTTTTTTTCTAGATATTGAAATTCATATAATTTTAAATTCTAAAAGCATCGGCAATTACATGCATGCATATTTTCTTGTTATTACACTAATTACGAAGTAATTTTAACAATGCATTCACTTAGCTTAATTTATACTTTATTTATTACCTTTATCATTATTGTCACCGTTACCAAAAGTATTGCACTTTAAACATCAATATAAAAAAATTCAATTACTAAATTTATTCATCTCTATTATATCTATCTCCGCCTATTATAAAGCATTTAGCAAGTTATTGGCCATAAAAATTTTATGCCATCCATTATATGTTGGTAGATCTTCTCCCAAGACATAATAAGCATTTTTTATTTTTTATTTTTTATTTTTTATTTTTTATTTTATTTTTAAATTTCTTCATTGATCACCAATATGTTTCGCAAATGGCAATCAAAAATTAATCTTTTATGTTTTTTATTTTTCTGAATTTACTCCTACTTAAACTTTATATATATTTGGGCTAAATGACATAATATTGAATTTCTCTAGATAGGTAAAGAGGTTTAGAATTTTTAAAATTAATTTTTTCTTAACTCATATAGAGTATTAAAAATTTATATTTGATAAATAAAAAGATGCTACGAGTATGATATGAAAAATATTTATTAGAAATTGTTGGATTGATTTTACAATTTTGAGACAATAAATTTCCGAAGAAAAAAAATAAGTTTTTTGATGCCCAACCTTTATTATTATTATTATTTTCTATTTCAATGCCTAATCTTTGATTTTTTTTCTATTTGAGTGTTCACAATCACGTTAGAGCATAAAGTACTAATGTGTATAGAGTTGACTATCACGTGGCACGTTTTGATCGTCATGTGGCGGCTTTTACCTACCTTGTTAGCAAAGTTGAACCGTAGGTGAAGTCGACTGTCAAAACAAATAAAAAATCAAAGTTTGGATAGAAAATCATTAGAAATCAATAGTTAAGCACCAAAACAGAAAAAAAAAAAAATCAAGAGTTGGACACTAAAAAAATCTTTTTCTCTTAAACTAATCTGGCAAAGGCATAAAGGAATCCCCAACCAAACAACTCAACTTCATCTAGATGAAATGAACCTAGACAAGGGTGTCTTGGTTCACAACCATAGCTAGGTTTGTACATATAAAAATAATCCAAAAAGTCAAAAGGAGGTAAAAAAAAAGTAGAAAAATATAAAACGATAAAAACAAAAATCAGATTTTCTCTCTCCAATTAACTCGTTTCTCTTTAACTAAATCGATGAATTTTTAGCTTGAGAAGACAAACGGACTATCAAAGTAGTCCATTGCCACTAGAGTAACCTTCCTCTACCTATGGCTGTGATTGAGAACAATAAAAGTACCTCCAAACATGGAGGAGAAGTCTTGTATTTTGATGAGACCGAAATCTTCACTAGATTTCCAATTTGACTTTTAAGTTGAATCCTCTCTAATCGAAGTTGCAAAGAGACTCTTAAAGGTCTCTTAGATTGATCTTAAGTGATTGCAAACCTTAAAACCTTTAATTTCCAATTGAGTTTCTTTAAGAAGAAGAAGAATTTGGCCAAAAGTTACAATCACCAATCCTCCCTCTCTAACTAGTTGTGTTCAACACAACCTTCATTAAAGGGTAGACAAGGTCGACAAGAAGCTTTCTCGACCATTTATATACGGAGAAGTTACCAAAAACTAATCAAACGATGAATGATAGTGGAAAAAGCCTAAGCAAAATGTGTTGAGATATGATTCAAAGGTTGAATGAGTTTTTTGGATCATGGGTTATTGGCGGTTTTCAAAAATTATAAGTTTGTTTTAGTCAATTATGAAATGGGCTAGTTGTTGTAGTGGACCTTAGTAGGTGACAAAGTAGTCCGAAAGCCTTAGTTTGTTTGTTTTGATGTAAGCTTATATATATAGGCATTTCACGTTATCTTTTATCAAGTATTTATCATCAAGGAAAAAGTCTCTGTAAAAGTTTTATTTCTATTCTATTTCTATTGTCTCTTTCTCCAACATATTTGGTATTAGAGTTAGCTTTGGTCTTTTGGGTAAAAGAGTGAAACACTTGGGTCTATTGGGTATTTGAAAGAAACATAAGTGAGAGTATTCTTTTTGAGTTTGAATAGTGATAATATACGAAAGATCAATGGCAGCAGCTAGGTTTTCTTTCTATCAACCACTCATATCGATTTTCAATGATGAGAAGTATGAGTGGTGGAGCATTAAGGTGAAGACATTGCTCAAATCGCAGGAGTTGTGGGACTTAGTGGAGTATAGGTTCATTGATATATTAGAACCTAGTGAAGAAGAGGAGAAAAAGCTAAAAGAAACCAAGAAGAGGGATGCTAAAGCATTGTTCATTCTCTAGCAAGCGATCCATGAGACTATATTTTCACGAATTGCAGCGAGCAACCACATCAAATCAAGCATGTTCAATTCTACGGAAGGAGGTCATAATGGTGAGATTACAATCACTAAGACGTGACTTTGAAAGTTTGATTATAAAGAATGGTGAATCGATTACTGATTTTCTATCATGAGCTATGGCAATAGTCGATCAAATACACTCCTACAATAAGCAAATTTCAAATGAGATGATTGTTACAAAAGTATTGAGAAGCCTAACTCCAAAATTTGACCATGTGATAGTTGCTATAGAAGAAGCTAAGGATTTGTTAGTTCTTTCTATTAATGAACTAATGGGATCTCTTCAAGCTCATGAGTTAAGAATCAATAGCTCACTTGAAAAGAACAAAGAGAAGACATTTCAAGTGAAGGAGACAACCATTAAACATAGAGAAAGTGATCGTTTAGCAAGTAGAGGTCAATGAAGAGAATGATCTTGCGATCGTGGTTGCGATAATGGCGAGAGGCGAGAGGAAAGAATGAAGGGCAAAGGCGAGTCCAATGAGTAAGGAAACATGAAGAGTGGCATTCAATGTTATCATTACGGGGGATATGGGCATATAAAAGCTTATTGTTGGTACAAATATTAGAGGATGAATTTTGCGAGTAGAAAATGAAGAAGAAATAAGGTTTTTATGGCTTGTATTGATACTAACCATAAACCAAGTGATTTGTAGACAAGTGGTTGTTTGAACCATATGACAGGTACCAAATCTTTGTTTCAAAAGCTTGATGAGACATAAAGGATAAAGGTGTAGCTCGGCAATAAAAAGGAGATGCCAGTTGAAGGAAAATGCAAAGTTAGAGTTTAACACTTGCCATGAAAAAGGAAAAGCATTGGACAATGTTCAATTTGTACCTAATCTAGGATATAATTTATTGAGTGTTGGATAATTGATGGCCGGTGGATATTTTGTTTTATTTAATGACAATGCATGTGTCATTAAAAATAAGAAATTATGCCAAAAGGTTCATATCATCATGAATTCAAACATGTTCCCATTGGATGTTTCTAACATGGAGAATTTTGCTTTTACTGCAAGTGCAAAGGATGACTCGAAGCTATGGCATTTGAGGTACGAGCATCTTAATATTAAGGACTCGAATTTGCTAAGTGATAAATGTATGGTTCACGGGCTACCAAAAATTGGCTCTATTGATTTATATGAAGGGTGAATTTATGAAAAACAAACTAGAAAGTCATTTCCTATTGGAAAAGCTTAGAGAGCTTTAAGACGTCTAGAATTAATTCATGCTGATTTACTCGTGAAAACCGAATCCTTGGGTAGGAGTCGTTATTTCTTGCCATTTATTGATGATTATAGTTGCATGAGCTGGGTTTATTTTCTAGAAAGCAACTCAAAAAATTTTGAAAAGTTTCAAAAATTTAAGGCTATGGTGGAAAAGCAAAATGGCTTC